ATGATGATGAGACAGTGGGAGGTATGGGATAAGAATAATTTACTTCTTAGTAGCTGGTAAGTAATCCAGAGTTAGGGAGAGTAACCACAGGGGTTCTACATAGGTAGGTGGCAGGGGGTGGCAGGTGAATTGGGACATGCTATCCTCACAGAATGGTGTGGGTGGCAGGTGAATTGGAACGCTGAATTTTCACACAATGGTATTGTGGGTGGCAAGTGAATTGGGACACTCTGGGTCTTCACAGAATAGTGTCCTGGGCAAGGTCAGCAAATATTTCTTGTGCCTACTACATGCCATGTACTGTGCTTAGCACTGGGGATTGATTCAAAGAAAGGAGAATCCCTGCTGTCATGGAGTTTACAGTCCAAGGGGGAAACAACATAAATATAACTATGTGCAAACAAGATATATACAGGGTAAATTGGGAATAATCACAAAGGGAAGGCACTAGCATTAATGGGGTTTTGGATAAGCTTCTTGTGAAGGTGGACCTTTAATTGGCACTTGAAGGAAACGAGGAGATGGAAATGAAGAGGGAGAAAATTCCAGGCACAGGGGACAGCAATTGAAAATACCCAGAGTCACAAGATAGAGGATGTTGTTCAAGGAATGGCAAAGAGACTAGTGACACTGGATCAGAGTACTGTGGGTAGAGTAGGGTGTAAGAAGACAGGAAGGGTAGGAAGGGGCCAGGTTATAAAGAGCTTCAAAAATCAAACAGGGTTTTATACTTGATCCTGGAGGCAGTAGGGAGCCAGTGGAGTTTATTGAGTTGGGAAGAGTGGTGACAGGGTCAGTCCAGCACTTAGGAAGATCATGTTGACAGCTGAGTATATTGAAGTAGGGAGACACTGTTTCCCTGTGTAATCCTTCTGGCTAGGTAGAGATAGGGTGGGTGATTGCAATAGTAGGCGACTCATAGATCTTAGAGCTGGAAGGAGCCTCAAAGGCCATCTACTACCTAAAGGGTTCAACCCTTTATTTTACAGATGAAGAAACTAAGGCCCAGGGATGTTAAGTAACTTGTCCAAGATTATGTAGGGTCAGGGGCAGAATTTGAAGTCCTTTGGCTCCAGAGCCAGTATTCTTTGATCGTTCAGAGACAGAATGTGTTCCATGAAGAGTTTTCAATCTTTTAATCTGCTAGACCTCTTATTTATGATAATTTACTCACTACAGCAGATTTGTTTGTATATGTGTATACACACATATTTAAAAAGCAAAAAAAGGAGACAGTGTACTATTAACAATAATTGAGTTTTGCATATCTCTGTCAGGTTTGCAAAGCATCTTATAAACATTTATCCCATTTGATTCTCCCAACATTCTTTTGAGATAGATTCTCCCAACATTCTTTTGAGATAGATTCTCTCAACATTCTTTTGAGATAGATTCTTGAGGAATTTATCCCCATTTTACATGAGGAAAGTGAGGTTTAGAAAGGTTAAACTATTTGCTCACAGTTTCAGAGTTTAAACCCATGTCTCTTCTGACTGTAAATCTAGCATGTACTGTTTATCTTCTCATCTTATTTTTGTTGAAGAATCTAAACTTTTCATTTAAATTTTACAAACCCTCAGTTAAACAACTAGAAATATACCTATGTAAAAACCCAGATTAAAGAAATAAATTAGGAGGAAATTGTTTCTTCATGTGAATATGTTGTCTTAAAGCAGGGGTTCTTAGCCTTTTTTGAGTAACGAATCCATTTTGTAGTCTGGTAAAACCTTCTCAGAATAATGTTTTTAAATGAATAAAATGAAATACTACTACAGATTTCAAAGGAAATCAATTATTTTAAAATATCATTATCAACATTTTTTTAAAAGGTTAATAGGCTCCAGGATAAGGACCCTTGTCTTAAAGAAATTCCTAATAGGTTTCATGCTAGGGGCCATTTATGTCTAGATCTCCCTTTAGTTTCATTCAGCAGATACAAGCACTGTACTTACATACTAGGAATCCAGAAACAAAACTGACCCTTCCTCTTTAGGGAGGATATGGCTTCTCCATGCATTCCTCAAGGTAGGACATGATAGATTTAAAGGGGAGATCCATTTCATTGGCATCTCTTTCCAAATGTTTTAACTTTTGTTGGGGAGTAAAGAGAAAAAAAATTGAGTGTTAGGGTCCTTGCCAGTGCGATACCAATCAGAAATGCAGTTTAATTCAGCAGACTTTGGGGGGCATTTACTACATGCAAAACACTGTACTGGGAGTTGTGGAAATTACAGTGATGAAGACAATTCCCTGTTCTCATGAAACTTTCAGCCTAGCAGGGAATCTAGCAGATATGTAGACAAATAGATTGCAAAACAGAATGTGACAGGTGCTTGTGAAGTACAAAGTGCTATAAAATTTCAGAGAAATGAAATAATTTTTGGAAGAGGAAGGCTTCATGGAGCTTCCTAAATTGTTTCCACTTCCTAAAGTTCATTCTCCAAACTGTTTTTCAAACAGCTGCCAAAATAATGTTTCTAAAACATATGTATGAACAGATTCAGTGCCCTGCTCAGAAATAATATTTCTTATTACCTAGAAGATAAAATACCAACTCCTTAGCCTTACCTAGCCGTGTCTCCACTAGGTGTCTCCAGCCTTATTTCACACTATTCCCAGTCTACTCTAGTCCATTAGCTCTTCACCACTGTTGTCCTGCATTCTCTTGTCTCCGAGCATTTTCATGGGCTTCCTTGTTATGTGCTGTCTCTGTATTTCTTCTGCCTGTTGAAAACCTTCTTTTCAAGGACTAGCTCATGTCCTGCTTCCTCCATGAGGCCTTCCTTGATCCATCCAACAATGATTTCTCCTTCCTCAAATTTTCTCAGCACTTTCTATTTACTCTTATTCTATTTTATTTTGTTTGCATATGCATATGCATATATATGTATATATGTATGTATGTTGTATTTTCCCTCTTAAAATATAAGTTCCTTGAAGGAGAGTGTCATTTTTCATCTCTATACCCAAAGGTAGAAGGCATTCCTTGCTTGGAACTAAATCTGTGAACTTAGAAAGCTTAGGGTATAGTCAAGGAATAGTAGAAAATGACAGGATATCTTTTGTGGTCAAGATGTGGGCTTGACCTTTCCTATGAATTTGGAAGCAACAGAGTGAATGGACCCAGAATTATAGAATGTGAGTAGGAGGGAATCTAATTGTCATTTAGTCCAGTTGTTGAATAGTAATCCCCTCTACCATATTCTTGATAAATGGTCATCTAGCCTTTACTTGAAGTCTTCCATTGATGAAGAACCCCTGCTTCATGAGGCATCCTATTCCACCTGAATATTTTCCTTACATTGAATTTTAATTTGCCTCACTTCAACTCCTGCAAACTATTCTATTTCTGCCCTCTTGGGTTAAGGAGAACAATTCAATTAAATTTAATAAGCAATTATTAAACACCCACTACGGACAGGGCAGTATGCAAGGTCACTGAGGACAAACAAAATGAGACAAATCCCACCCAAAGGGAGTTTACATTCTCTTTATACACCAAACGAACAGAGCACTAATAATGGGGGGGGGGAGGTGGAGGAGGGTGGGTAGGGGGGGAAGCTAGAACAGTCCTGTTGAGACCTGGGCTGAGCCCTGAACAATTCAAGACTTTGGAGATCTAAGAGGTAGAGATAAGGAGGTGTTGCATGCTAGGTGTAGCTTCTGAAAAGGCAAAAAGGAGGAAGATGAAATGGCACATGTGAAGAGTAGCAGGTAAGGCCAATTGGCATATAATGTATACTTAGTGGAATAACATGGATTAGGACCATAGAATATACAAAGAATATTCTTAATTCCACCAACCATATATTAGTGTGTCTATTGTCCTACATCTTTCTTATGTTGCTTTTCTTTTTGGTCATCTTGGCCAGTCTTAATTACCTTTACTGTATTTCAGATTTTTCATAGGACTACAATGATCAAATGGAGTTCTTGTGCATATTAATGATACTTTCTAAAGGAGATTCAAATAGAATGGCCACATGTAGTTTTAAAAAATCATTAATTGTTTGTAAATCTTTTAAAAATATGAAATATGACATCTAATATAAGGCAGTGTTGTGACTTGGAAAGGAAAAGTTCTTAATGGTGGGTACTTGTCTTCTGTTAGAATAGCTAAATTAAAAGTTTCTACAATAGCTAATGTTATAAGATGTCTGCTTTAAAATATCTCCTTAGTAATGTGTTTTTCATAAGCAAACCAATATGGAACACAATAATGACAGTATATATTAAATTTTAGTAAAAATAAATGAGTAATAAACTTAATGGACTCACACTGCAAAGGATTTTAATATCAGATTTTTAAAGAAACAAAGTACAAAAAATGAATAAGGAAAGAATCATTACAAATACAGGAAAACATTTGTATGGAAAGCAAATTTTCATTATGGTATTCGAGTGGAAGAAGATGAAGTTATGTTATTGCTGAAGTATTCTGTGACTTATTTTCACTGGAGAATTGCCTTCAATAGATGACTTTAACTATAATTTTTCTCATTAGGCAGTGGGAAATTTATATTGATTAATTTTCTTTTCATCTGGGTTCAGCTTTATCAAAGAGAGAGCCCAAAAACTACTTTTCTACTGCGTACCAAAAACATACTTCATTCCATTCTGTGGTCTGAATGTTATTAAAGTTTTTAGGAGTTAAATGACTTTAATATCATATAGAAACATTTTAAATTGTATGTGTTTGTGTGTTATATTCCTTTATCTTCTGATCTAATTTTTATCATCTGAAACAATTTTACCATTTATGAGAGAAAATTACATGGAAAAAATTTTAGGCATGACATTCATATTACTGTAGAATAAATTTAAAATTAAGGTACTACTATGAACAGAATTAGTAATTTTCAAATTAAATATAATTTGTATGTTATATTGATCTCTTGGGTGTTTAATATACATTTTATTTTATATTTAATACATTTTATTGTTAGACATTATTTTTCTTGTTGTTTAAACTCTTTTTTTTTATTGGTTTACACTTGTAGGTGAAGGCTAATTTCTATTCCAATGTGGGAGTATGAATTGAGAGATCAGAAAAGTGCTCAAAGGATAACTGTGGTTGTGGGTGAGTTTTTATAATAATAGCAATTATAAAAATAAAATTAGATAATTTTTAATGTGGCTGTGTTGAAATTGGCCCCTAATGTTTTAACTAACATTAAGAAAATACCATTTAGATATTCTTTTGACTATCTAATATAAATGTGTACGTAAAACTTGACTAACTAGCCAGTAGACATTGAGAAAAACAGTCAAATCCCTTAAATGTCCTGTCGCTTCTTTATGTTTTATTATTGCTCTAAATTATTTAAAATTGTTTCTCAGCATAAAGCCATAGACTTGACTTTAAACATTTAAACTTTAAACAAAAGCTCTTAATTCTAGAAACAGTTCATAGGAGTGATTATCCACTTCCTCTCTTAACAGATTGAAGAAACATGGATTTCTACAGCGTCATTGGCATTGTTTTTACCAGTTTTCTCATGTTTCAACTTCTTTTCCATGTTGTAAGTTCTTGGTTTTCAGCACAAGTAACCTCAGGTTTTAACAAACTAAGCACCCAAAAGAAGATTGAATGGAACTCAAGGTAAAGTTTCTAAAACTAAGTAATATAGGAGAATATTAAGTCACAACTCCCAGAAAACTTGACACCAGACTATAGCCATATGGTCACTTGAAACCAAAATATTTTGAAATATTGTTTTCTTTAGATTTTGTTATATATGCTATAGATTAAACTCAGTTTATTTTTGATCAGATTATATTAAACACATTCCACAAAAACAAAAAGAATCAATTAATATTTATGAAAAGGAAGGAGAAAGTGAATTACATAAATCATGTTAAAATGTTTTCTTCATTGAAAGATGTATAGGAAAGAAAAGTATTTTTTAGTGAGTTTTGGGTTGTTGACTACCTCATTTTTCACGTAAAATATTATGGTTCTAAAGCATCTCAGCTTACTACAGTGCTTTGTACACAGTAGGTACTCAATAGCTACCTTTTCAAATATTCATTTCTTTGTAACTTCAGTTTTTACCATGCTGTCACTACAGGAATATTATGTACTTTGTATTATTTAGATAAAGGTAATACTTAGGATAAAATTATTTCTAAAATTTCCCTTTTTGGGGGCATGGGAAAGAGGGCAGCAGAAAATTACCATTTGATATTAAGTTCGAAGAATATTTGCCAAAAGTCCAAGTTCTTCTGAGAGAACAGTTAAGTATTTGAGCTGAAGCTTTGATCTTTATTCTGATTAGAGATCAAAAACTTCTAGTCTGTATTCATTATCTTTCCTTACAACTGCTTTGGTTCATGCTGTGAAAAACACATATCTTTAAAAAAGAGTTATAGTTTATTCAGGCATTTCATACATGCCGTGTGTATGGAATAAGCATTTTTTTGTGTCTGGTAGAACAACAATTAAAGGCAGAATTTGCTTTCTTTCAGAATTATAAGTTAGAGTTAAAATATTTTTTATGCATAGATTTATAGAATGGGGATATTGCTTCTCTTATCCTCCCTACCACTCCCCCCCCACCAAAAAAAAAAGGAAAGAAAAGTGAAGGTCTCTTAAAATTGACTACTAGGCAATGGCGGCATTTTTTGAGAGATGTTTTAATAAAAATAAATATCAGATCAAATAATGCATATATATATATATCAAGTAAAAATTTCAAATGCAAATAAAGAATAGTGTTGGGTATATTAACGCAGCAAACATCAAAGACTGATGAATTCACACAGCTATCTCAGTAGAAATGAAGAACATCAAAGAACTAAATAAATTGAAACATTGTTGCAAAGAATAAATATCTGAACATTTTTTAGTGAAAGCATGGTTAAATTGAGCAAACCCTTGCTTGTATATCTACCTTTTACCCTCAAATGTGTTCTGTTTTTTCATCTTAGTGACTGATGGTTGTGTTATTTTGGCTGATAACTTAATTTCTTTGCATCTCTGTTGTGTTCCTGTAGCATGTGGGTGATACTCCATCTACCTCATAAGTAGTTATGAGGAACACACTTTGTTAACCTTAAAGGCAACAAGCATTTATTAAGCACCTACTGTATATCAGGCACTGTGCTAAGTGCTGGATTAAATATGTTCATATTATTGTTCAGCACATATTAAGCTTACCCTGTACAGACCATTATGTGTGCTTTTGGGGGAAGAAAAGATGTGAATTTTAAGTAAGACAGGTTCTTCTTGCCTTTGTGTCTGGAATGCATTTCCCTTTCATAATAGCCTCTTAAACTTCCAAGTTTCCCTCAAAACTGAGCTCAAATGCAACCTTCTGCAAGGCATTTCCTGATTCTACCCTCCCTGGTCCCCAGCTGGTAGTGTTTCATCCTCTATACAGTCCTTAAATATGTTTTCATGTATTCTTGTTATATATGCATGGGTTGTCTTTACCCCTCCTTCCCTTAGAATGTAATCTTCTAGAAGACATCCAATGTTGGACTGTTTGGTTTTTGTCTTTGCATATTGAGTGCTAGCACAGTTAATGCCTGGCACATGTAGCTAATAAAGCTTTAAGAGTCATTAAGCTTACAGTTTAGTAAGAGGCAGACACTAGTAAGCATGTATAGCTAATACATAATATTACTTAAGTGCATCAGAAAGAAATATAAAACTCTGAGTACTTCAGGTAACTAAGACAAGTTAAGGAGCAGTCACTCGGCTGCTTGAGTGGAAGGACTGTTACAGTTATTTCAACTATACTGTTGAAATCTCATGCTTGGATCAAAATACTCCTCCCCCCTCATTAAAGGTGTGTGTGTGTGTGTGTGTGTGTATGTGTGTATGACTTTCCTCCCTCACTTAAGGAAAATTCCACTTTCCAGTTAAGAAAAATTATTCATGTTTTTCAGCGTTTGTCTTCTTTATATATATATATATATGTACATATATATATCACTGTCATGCTCCAATGACATCCCTCCTTGCCAGAGGATTTACTTTTGTAACAAATAAGTTCAGTCAAGTAAATTAAATAAACAAATTGGCTATGCCTAAAAATGTATGCTTCATTTGGTACTGATAGCCTACCACTCCTTTTCAGAAAGGCAAGCCATGCTCCACCACTGGACTTGCAAAATCAATGCTTGGTCACTGCATTGATCAAGTTTTCAGTGATTTTTTACCCTTTACATAATTGAAGTCATCATAAAATCAGTCATTCATTAAGCATTTATTAAGTATCTGCTATGGGCCAGGCACTGAGCTAGGCACTAAAGATAGTAATATAAATTTGAAACAGACCTTGCCTTCAAGAATATTATATCCCAGTAGAATATAGTATTCACATATAAGGACATATAGAATATATACAAAATACATAGGGAAGGAGGGATACTAGTAACTGGGTAAATTAAGAAAGACTTCTGGAAGAAGTGGGTGCTTGAACTGGTCATGGAAGGAATAGCACACTACAAACTGGTAGGAATCAGTGAAGGTATTGCTGAGTAAGTAGCACCTGGTAGGAACTTTAAAAGGAACACTAAGATTCTTAGAGGCAGAGATGAGATGAAATTTCATTCCAAGTTTGACGAATGGCTCTTGTATGAATGGATGAATATGGTAGGTAGAGCATTGAGTGCAGGGGAATATTATTCCAATATGGACGAATGTAGAGTTCATGAAGAGAAGTAGTCAGAAGTACAGCCGTTGATAGATAGATTGAAACTAGAATGTAGAAGGCATTAAATGCCACACTAATGAATTCGTATTTTATTCTAGAGACATGGAGGAGACAATAAAGTTTTTTGAACTGGGAATAATATATTTTCCTGGTTCTGTTTCACCTGTATCAGTTCATGTAGTTCTTCCCAAGTTTTTCCAAATTCCTCATAGTTGTGATTCCATATGACATGGTATTTCATTTCATTCACATACCACAATTTGTTAAGTCATTCCAGAGTCAATGGGTACTTACTTTCCTTCTAATTTTTTGCTTCTGCAAAATGGGCTACTGTATTTTTGTATCTAAGGGAACTCTCTGTCCTTGACTTACTTAGGGTAGGTACCTAGATGTGGTACCATTACATGTATCATTTAGTGACTTTTAAAATTATTATTCCAAATTGTTTCCCAGAATAATTGGTTCACTTCACAGCCCCACAAAGAGCGTATTAGTTTGTCTTTCTATTTTCAGTTGTAGTCAGCTTGGCCCATCTGATGTGTATGAGGTGAAGTCTTAGAGATGATTAATTTGTATTTCTCTTATTACTAATGATTTTGAGCATTGTTTCATATGCTTACTGATAGCTCACATTTCTTCTTTTGAAAAAACTGTATCAGGGCAGTGAGGTGGTGCAGTGGATAGAGCTCCAGCCTTGGAGTCAGGAGGACCTGAGTTCAAATCTGGCATCAGACCAAACACTTGACACTTACTAGCTATGTGACCCTGGGCAAGTCACTGAACCCCAATTGCCTAAAAAAAAAAAATGAAAAAACTCTATCCTGTGACACCTTACCTCTAGCCCTTCTCTTCTTTTTCCCAGAGTAGCAAAAGTAATAATAATTGTTGATATTTATATAGCACTTTGAAAAGCACTTTTACATACATTATCTCATCTGATGCTCACAACATGTACTGTAGATATTATAATCCCCATTTTGTGATGAGGAAACCAAGGTCTCAGAGAAGTTAAGTAACTTGTTCATAGTCACACAGCTGCTAAATAGTATTCAAACCAATGTCTTACCTGACTGCAAATCCAGCATTCTTTCCACTAGGGTGTGCTACCCCAAAATGGAGTTTTCATAGTGGCAAAATGAAAAATTGAGCAAAAAATGGAAAAATACCTGGGACAGGCGGTAGAAAGTTGAATCACATTCCTATAGGCCATGGATTGACAGATTTAATGGTTTCTGGGCATTCTGTGTATTAGTAACTAATATTACATAACTTAAAAGAAGGCAGAAGCAGCAGTCACTGACCAGTCACCAGTCACCACTGTATAAATGAAAAATAGGTCTCCCAAGAAATCTCAAAGGAAAAGCTGTCTCTATAACACTAGTTCCAAGTTGGAGGTGATTCCTGCTTCCTGAAACCCACCAGGTTTGGCCTTTCCCTATTGCACAGTTTTCCTGGTAACTTGGAGAGAATAAATTAATATAACACATGCTGATGCTTCCTCACAATCAGAGATTGCCTAAAAGTCTGTGAACCCTGGATGGTCTGAGTCACTTAGGAAAGCATAGAAAAATCCCCACCAGAAAACATTAATTTGAGTGGTTATAATTGCAATTGAGTCATTAAGCTTAATTGTTGCTCTTACATAAAAGATAAGAATTATAGGTATTATTTGCCACAATAATGTAATTTATTTCTCCTTCCTTTATTCACTTAGTTCCAGCATTAGCCAGATGGACACACTTAGCATGGAGAATCCTACTGTGCTGAATTACTCATGATTTATTTTTTTATTAGCTGGTCCACTAATTAAGCTTCTGCTTTTGTCTTGTTTTAGATTATGCAGTTTTAGTTGTTAATAAATGGACTACCTAAAAATGAGTAAATCTCTAACTTCTAAACTGCCATTCTGATGTAATTATTAATTATTTCTTAGAAAAATTTTTACAGACAAATTTAGTATGCTAAATAAAGTTTAAAAGAGAAAAATGTATTTTATATTAGTGTGTATTTTACCATTCCTTCTAAACAAAAAGGCGTTTGAATTACATGTGTGCCAGGAATTAATATTGCTTATAAAGTGACCTGTGGCACTTCACAAAGATGTTTCTGAAGGTATGTGAAATGATAAGTTACAGAATTATATTTTAGGATACGCTTTATAATACAGAATAATTGGTACAGTATGCAATATTTGCTCCCATTGTTCAGCGTGATATAGTATTTGTTGTTGACAAACAGAAAAACAAAGATGAACCTGGAAATTATGATATGACTGATTGGTTGGTATGATTTGACTAGGCACACATGTTTTATTTGTTTTACATTCCTAAGATGCATCTTATTTTTTCCTAATTAATTTTATTCTGTTTTTTTTCATGCTTACCATTTCACTGATATGTTAAAGTTACTTTGTATTCTTTTTCTTGTTTTGAGGTATTTACAACTCTACCCAATTTAAGATAAATCTGTACACAACATAGTAGAATTAGACTGATTGAGAATGTTGCTATATCCAATCAGTGAGATACAAATAGGTAATTTCCTAAGTAATTTGGCTGTCTGCTTTTGGACTTTTTTAGTTGTATGTACAGGCAGTAGTTGGTTAATTGTTGATTAGTTTATCTCAAGTGCTTAGTATGTCCCAGGTTTTGTGCTAAGTGATGGACATAGAAAGGCAAAAACATTGTTTCTTTTCTCAGGGAGCTCACATTCTAACTGAGGAAACAACATGCAAGTGACTATTTATATACAAACTATTTATACTGTAAATGAAAGGTAGTCTGAGAGGGAAGGTAATAATGTATTCAACCCAATAGAATTTTGGTCAGTGTCATTCTGATGTGATACATCCAGATTTATCCTCTAAGTCATGGACAAATATCTGAACACTCGATTAGAGAGATATGAAGTGATAGATAAAACCCGAAAACCATTCCTCCAGTAGATGAGTAGTCAAAATATAACAAAAAATACTCAAAAGAACTGCAAACTATGAACAACCATTTGACAGAATACAACAGATCCCTAATAATAAGAGAAATGCAAATCAAAACAACCCTGAAGTCTCACCTGACAACCAGAAAATTGGAAAAAAATGACAAAAGATGGGAATAGTTTATGTTGAAAGGGTTGTGGAAAGGCTCACTAATGCATTGTTGCTGAGGCTGTGAATTAGTACAACTTTTTGGAAAGCAATTTGGAATTACACAATGAAATGATTAAATGTTCATAGCCTTTGACCCAGAGATCCTGTCTCCATATACAGCAACATATTTATAGCAACTTTTTTTTTTTTTTTTTTTTTGGTGGTAGCAAAGACCTGAAAGCAAAGCTCCTGGCTGTCAGTTGGGGAATGAGTAAACAAATTGTGGTACCTGAAGGTACCACTTACTGTGCTGTAAGAAATGACAAATATGTTGAATACAAAGCTGCATGGGAAGACTTAAATGAAATAATGGAAGTGAAGTAAGCAAAGCCAAACCCCACCCTGCCCCCCATTATACACAATGACTACAGCAATAGAAGTGGAAAGGGTAACCACTGCAGAACAATAAAAAATCAATGTTGCAAAATTACAAAGAAAAGCCTCGCCCCAAACAGAAACTATGATAAGATACCTCTTCTCCACCCCCAGGCCTTTGCAGAAGTAAGGATATCCACAAGTATGGAACATTGCAAGTGTCGTCAGTTTTTTTTTAACGTGTTGATCAGTTTGGTTGAAATTTTTTTCTTTTCCTCTTTTTTTTCTTTTCTAAAAGAGATCTTTATCATAAGAGATAACTTTTTGAGAGGAGGATGGAGAAGGATATGGGGGAAAATTTAGGCAATGTAAAAACAAAAGAAATCAATATACTTTTTAAAACATGGGGGCCTAGTGTGAAATGTAGGTTAATTATTTATATTATGAAAGGACTTTTCACTTTACAGAAGAATTCGCTGCAGTGAATTCTTTAAATAGTGAGCTTGACAATATTTAAAATTCTGTTTGACTTTGTCTGATTTACACATACCTTTTTAGGAACACTCATTTTGATAATATGAACTCTCAAGTTTGTTTTACTATGAGGTTATTTTGTAATATTGAACTGCATATTGATGATTACGTTTTAATTATTTTAAAGGGATGCCATTTGATGTTATTAGAGAAAAAAGTGCTTTGGACTTGAGAAAACTCAAAATAATGCTCTTACCCTTTATCTTTTTTTCTTTATTCCTGTAAAGTTTTTAAAGCTTATGAACTATTTTGTTATAATTTTGAGGTTAAGATATTTATAGATCTACAATTGTTAACTAAGATAAATGTTCATTGTATGAGAGTTTATAGGACAAGATACGTAGATAAATATGATTTATGTATATACATACGTATATAAATATAATGACATAGAAATGTATACATGCATAAATTGCACATAAAAGTAAATAGTGTATATATACAACATGTGCACAAATACATATGATACACACATGTACATAAAATTAAGTTTGTATTATTTGGTTCATTTTGTCAATATTGGTCAGATATAATTTATGAGAATCCTTTTTACATTTCTGCTGAGAAGAGAAATAATACATGGCAAGGATATATTAGGTGCTTAATAAATATTGGTTGAGGTTGAGTTGAATTTTCCCCAAAACTTTAGGCCTTCTTTATAAACAGAAAATTAATCTTAACTAGTTGATATCTGTAGTTTGCTTTTATGTATTTCTGGCCTTTAATAGATCAGATTTTGGAAAAGAACATATCCTAAATGTGATCAGGTTCCCTAGTGTGTCCTGACAAAGATCAGTTTTCAAATTGTATTTTCTTACCAGTTTGCAGCATCTGATAGCAATGTATTTTGAAAGAACATCAGAGTAGGAGTGAGAAGACCTGGGTTCTGGTCTTAACGCTTCTGCTTATTAACCTCCATCTGACAGTGGGCAGGTCACTTAATCTCTCTTGACCCTTACTTTCCTCCTCCATAAAATAGAGCTAATGGTATCTATGTCTTTGGCTATTTTCAAAATTAAGCAAAATGTCCCTAAAAGCAGTTTAAGCCTTGCCATGGAGGAGTTACGAAAGGACAAGGACAAGTGTTGTACAGAATGAGAGGGCATGAATGGTTGGCAATCTGCATCTTTGGAGGTAGTACCCATATTGATTAAATCATAGATCTCTTGAGGTATTTGAACAAAAGTACCCTGAAGAATGATTGCAGCTGACAGTCCGTGTTATATAACTTGTGAGCAAGCTTAGCCCTTTTTTTAAGTAAGAGAATTAAAGGGAGAGTTGTGATTGGTATTGGCAGTGTTTAGAAAATACTGATAATTTGAAAGCTGTAGTTCTATGCTATACTCTTAAGAATAATAATACCAAACATTTATATAGCACTCAGGTTTAGAAAATGTTCAGATTACATTATATCATTCCTCACAACAGTTTTGTGAGGTAAATACGGCAGGTATTATTATCCTCCTTTTACAGATGAAGAAAATATATCTCAAAGAGGCTAACTGATTTGCCCATGGTCACAGGCAATGTTTGAACTCAGGTCTCTACTGATGCCTAAATGAGGTAAGAATGCATTTCAGTCTGAATAATATTGAATGTATTTTTTTTCTCGTTTCAGGATAGTATCCACATTCCATTCCTTGCTGGTTGGTTCTTTATGCCTATATATCTTATTTTTTGATGAAGCTACTATAGCTGATCCCCTTTGGTAAGATATATCCCCAAATGGTTTGATTTCATTTATGCTTCTGAAAAGAATGTTTATTTGTAAGATTATTTCTCATTTACCTTGAAAATATAAAGGGTTTCTGTTTACATATCAGAGTTTATAGATCAGTTGTGTTGGAGAATATTTCTAACTTGAACAAGACAGTCTAGTCGGAAAGTATTTTCTTGTTCATTTGCTTCAGTTGTGTCCAACTCTTTATGACACCGTTTAGGATTTTCTTGGCAAAAATACTGGAGTGGTTTGCCATTTCCTTCTCCAGCTCTTTTACAAATGAAGAAACTGAGGTAGATAGGGTTAGATGACTTGCCCAGTTAATAAGTATCTGAGTGCAGATTTGAACTCCGATCTTCCTGACTTCAGGTCTGGAGCTCTATCCACTGAGCCACATCTTCTTTGATCCAATCATTAATTTAATATTTGCCTTATTGTTTGACATTAAAGACAAAAAATTTGGATTCCATATTTTAATAGGGAATAGGGACTAGACCTGTGATTTCATTGATATAGGAAGAGGAAACTCTCTTTCCCAAAGCAATTTCTTACCTTTGGAGTATAAATAGTCTTTGGAGTTACCTAGAGTACTTAGACGTTAAGTGACTTGCCTAGGGTCACTTAGCTGGTGGGTGTTAGAAGTGAAACTTGAACTCAGGTCTTCCTGATTGCAAGATTCAGTATTCTAGCCACTATTCAGAAATTTGAACTTGAATAAAATTCTAACTAAGGTAGCAAGATTTCTATTGGGTTATCACTTTTGAAACTTGTAAATAATATTTCTAGTAATGAGTGTGTTGCAGTGGATAGAGTGATAAGTTTGTCCTTGGGTTCAGATCTTTTTTTGTTGACCCTAGGCAAGTCCACTTAACCTCTCTGTGCTTCAGGCAATTTCCTAGCAATTATCTCCCAAGTTATAGGTGTGACATAGTGGTCAGAGTTGTTACTCCATGAGTTTCCAACAATCACCCATCCTTTATCCCAGTAGTAAACATAAGCTGAAAATTTTCTTTCTATTTGTGAATGGTTTGATTAGTTCAGTAAGATTGATGGGCTTGTGTTATCACAGGAGCATTGCATTCAAGAAACAAGACATCTGGGTTCTAATCCCCCTTACAGCTTTCCAGCTGTGTAGTCTTAAAATTATTTAGATATAATAGTGCCTTATCTACCTCAAAACAAGGGGACTAGATCATTTTTTGATTATTTCTTGATTATTTCTTCCAGTTGTGGGATTTTGATTTTTACTTTTTTTTTTTTTAGCATAAACAGCATTTGTATTTCGAAATTCCAGTCAGTCACTAACCATGCTTGCCTCAATTTCCTATCTGTAAAATGAGCTTGATAAGGAAATGGCAAACCACTCCAGTATCTTTGCCAAGAAAACCCCAAATGGGGTCATGAAGAGTTGGACATGCCTGAAAGGACTGGACAACAAAATTAGTAAAATGGCCTAGCTGGAAGTTATGTTTTTGGTTACTTTGTACCATACACTAGTCATTACACATGTTGACAGACTGTATTATAGTACTTAGTCCTATGTTTTCTACATAATTATGGACACTTAATATTTATTCATTTGATATAATTAGTTGAGGGAGCTAATGCTATGATATTCCCTATAATCTTAGCATTTGTTGCACAGGGTTCCTAGCTGTCCTTTGCAGCTCAGAATAATCACTACTACTCTTTAATCTCTACTACTGTAGCTATTCTAGGGATTTGGGTTTGGAACAGTGATGAATCCAAGGACTTACAGATTTCCTGGTGTTGTATGTGTTTTGAGAGGGGATGAAAAAGGAGAAGTATATTCCCAATTTAAAGAATTGACCGGGAGTAAATTTTTCCCCTGTGTTCCTCAGTGGAGCAGGGCAGTTAGATGGCACAATACATAGTTTTGGGCCAGGAATAAGGAAGACGTGAGTTCTAATCCGGCTGCATACCCTTAATAAATATGTGACTCTGAGCAAGTCGCTTGACCTTGGTCTGCCTCAGTTTCCTCATCTGTAAAATGAGGATAATAATAGCACCTACATCTCAGGGTTATTGTAAGGATAAAAAGAGATACTATTTATATAAAGTTCTTAGCAAACTTTGAAGCACCATGTAAATGCAATTATCATCAACGTTCTTCATCACCATCAACCTAGTCTGGACCCCTCAGAGCTAATCATTGTCCCAGAGGAAACTTTGGAGACTTGGCTTAGGCCTATAAGAGGCTCCCCGTTGAAACTATGTCCTAAAGCATATTTCTCAGTTAAATTTCGTTCTTTGGGGTCAATTTAAAGGGATTCCCAAGTTGTCAGAAGGGGTTGCATTTGAGGCATCCTATGGACAATGCATTTCTTCTAGAATTTCCAGTTTGGCTGGAATATCCTAAAACCTTTCAAGTGACATCTGAGGAAGTGTGTCATGGCAAACTATTAGAGTGCTGATATGATTTACGTACAAAACAGTAATTTGCCAAATAATGATATAACAATTTTTCAAAACATTTAAACCATGGAAGAAAAAACAAATGTGCTAGAATGTTTTCTTACAAAAATTGCACCAAAAAATCCCCAAGTTGTATGGCAAAGACTAAAACTTTATTTTCATGTTTATTCACAGGGGTGAGCCTTCACTTGTTCAAGTGAATCTTGCCATTGCTTCAGGCTACCTCCTCTCTGGTAATTATGTGATATAGTTAAATGGTGATTATGAGTAACAAACAGTTTTATTTTGATTCATATTTCTATAGCTATGCTATAAAGAAATAGAGCCATCTTTTAGTTCCTTTATGTCAGCCATACCTTTTAAGAATGGAAAAAAAATTATCCTTTGATTATGTGTGTGAAACCTATCCCTCTTTGCCTTAGGGCTAAATGATTTATCCTATTCTTTGAAAGGAGCTTATGAGGGAGAAATGCATCCTGTAGCAGATGAGCTAGATGTCAAACAGCAGGGACCTGGTCACTTTGACTTTTGGTATTCTTGATATCCTCTTTGTGGGTCTTCATTCTAGCCAGCCACTCTTCTGCATTTGCAGATTTAATGTGCTTTTTGTGATATCAGTTATTTAAAAAAATAGCTTGAATTATTTCCCCCCATCTTTTAAAGTAGAATATTGAAAACTCTTAAGTTTCTTAACCTAAATCCCTTATGTCAGAAAATGTTCAGAGAGAAATTTTAGGGCATTTTGACCTCTTCATTGTATTTTTATTTTATAATTAAATCTTTGGATAATTATTGTGCTAGAAAACAAATACTCTACATGTTCTTTCCATGACTTTCTTCTTTGATGACTTTAGATCACGAATTCAAATTTCTTGAATTTAAATAAAAGATCAAATGTTATAAAGCTTTTCCCACTTAATTCCATACCTTTTAGTCAGATGGGCTGTATTTTCCCACCTGGAATAGGGTAGCAACTCTGCATAGCCATTCACTTCATTTGCTTCTAGGTGAGGATAAGTGCTAGATCCTTACAGCAAAGGCATTTATTTGCCTTCTCTGTGACTGTGTCTAATTCTGTATTTTGTGCATCTCCCAGCATTTAATGCTTTTGTTGTTTTAAATTGACATCTGTTGCTGATATGTTTGAAGTATCAAGCACAGGTAACAAGTCATTTTGAGTAAGTCTGAAGTGGTGCAAGTTTTCTACATATCTGATCTTTTACTTTGGTAATTTTTTTTTTCCTTTTTGCAGATATGTTTCTTATCCTTTTATACTGGAAGGTGATTGGTGATAAGTTTTTTATCATTCACCATTCAGCAGCTTTATATGCATACTACTTTGTACTGGTGAGTGCCATATGTTGCAATAGTCTAACAAGCAGACAAGATTGAGAAGAGCGACTAAGGGTGAACATTGATCTCAATATATAACTCTAGGACTTACCCCCTCCCTTCCCCCCCCCCAAAAAAACATTCCAAGAACACTGAAGTCATCTTAGTGATAGTTCCACAATGTTGATTAACTCAGATTTTAGTATTGTATGCATACCTGTATCTGTGAGTTTTTGTGAGTATTTGTGAATATATCTAAATAAACTCTGAGAAAGGTTAGTGCATACATTTCCTTGAAATTGTGTTCAAAGAACTTTAAGACGTTTTAGGGACCGGACTTTTAATGTACTGTTATTGGTAGTTCAGATAATTTATGATTATTTACGATGACATAGTTCCAGGCATTTGCAGATTCCTAAAAAATAGCTCAAATCATCATTCCTACTTAGTGACATACTTAGGTTAGAAATCTAATTCTGGAATATTATTGGATGCCTAGAGTTTCATTTAAGTCCTAGGATTGAATGAGCAAAACCAGGTTAATTTTATTAAAGGTAGGAGAGTAAAAGAAAATAACAAGTCTCATATGTATTTCATATAAAAAATTATTCTTCCAAATGGAAATTGTGTCAGTAAGTTATCTCCATGCCTTCTCTAGCATGAGATATACTAATAAGTACAAAATAAATTTCAAAACAATAAATATTTCTAATCTTTCTACAAAAGTGATGTGGCAAGATATCCTTTATGTTTTTACTTTTAAAGCCTAAATGTGAATACTGGCTTTTTTTTTTTCTTACTGTTTCCCCTCCTCCCGCAGCTTTTGTTTTGTAGGTGAATGTTCATTCTGTATCCTAATAGATTTTTCTTTTTAAAATTTTATTTTCTACCATAGACTTTCATAAAACTTTAAATGAAGGAATGTTAGCAGCTGTGAACATGAGTTTGTTTTGTTTTTTTTTAAGTAACAGAAATGCATATGAGAAAAGCTCTTGGTATTTTTATTTTTAGCTGTCACTAACATAAGATACCATATTGGCTTAAATTTCTGTTATAGCAGAAAACTCTTTGCCTTTTTGGTGACAGGCCAGAGTGAGAATTTTACATTTTTTTATGTTATGTTTAGTGTTAAATTTTCAGTAACTAATACTGAATTCAATTTTATAATTTCTATAGTATTATACATGACAGGAATTCTGCTGATAATATTTCCCCTCAAAAATTAGATCATAGTATAATAGATGTAGAATTGGAAGGAATCTCAGAATCCATCCAGTCCAATCCCCTCATCTTACAGATTAGAAAACCAGTGGCCCAAGAATGTTAAATTATTTCTATGAAATCATAGGTGTAGTGAGTATCAAAGGTGGGATTTGAGCCTAAGCCCTCTGACTTCAGATCATTGCTTTTCTCCTGTACTGTGTCTGTACAAATCACCCATCTGAAGTATAATAGCTTTAATTAAAGCAAATATTTACAGCAATAAAATACAATTTTAAGTAGATATAAATATGCCCACTTGTAGCTACAAAAAGACATACACATCATCAGCTTTCCCTGGAGCATGTGGATGTAAATAGAAGACAGAGCTCGCTTAGAGTTTTATATCTTTTGTCTTCCTCTCATTAATATATTAGGTAGTTATAAAATAAGAGATTCTCATGATATATTGACCTTTTTTTCAGAAAACTAAATAAAATACCAGTTTTTGATGCTATAGCTTCAAGGTTTTTGTTACTTCAAAAAGAAAAGAGTGGTACAACCTAAGAGTATATGTGCAGTTCTCTTTCTTATAACCTTAGTTATTTACTTTATATTGATCAATACCTATTGTAGTTGCTAATTTTCATTGCAATGTAACTAATAAAAATGTAGGCACACTATTTGGAAAGACTGTGTGTATATGTGTGTAATGTCAGGTAACAATTTAAGGAAAAATATATTTTCTGAACACAAATCCTAGTAACACATATGCTATGAAAACAATATGACCTAATGAAAAAAGTTTTATGTTTTTGAATGTTAATTCTTATTAATATCTTATAAATCCCCTTCACTCTTGCAGATCACAGACTTGATAAATAATAGCTTTGCATGAACTTGCATGTTATGTTAAATGTTATGTTTGTGAAATGGGTACTGATTCTCATTGGACCTTAAATTCTTTTTTGCCTTTTTTGTTAAACCAAAGTAAGTGCATGTTAGAGTCTAATTTTCAATTAGCTTATTTTTCTCATTAAATAATATTGATGGATAAAAATCAGCTTTAATTCTAAAGGTGGTAGATTAGTGTGTAGATATATTAGGGTTCTATCTCATTGATTTAATGCCGAATACACTAATAAAAGTGAATCTATTCTTATGAAACCCAAAAGGAAAATTTTTAGAGGTATTAAAATTTCAAATATTTGATAACTTTTGGACTTAATGTAACAAAAGTACATGCTACATGTCAAGACCCACATTAGAGGGGCAGCTAGGTGGTGCTATGGGTAGAGTACTGGACCTGAAGTCAGGAGGACCTGAGTTCAAATCCGGCCTCAGACCAAACACTTGACACTTACTAGCTGTGTGACCCTGGGCAAGTCACTTAACCCCAATTGCCCCCCCCCCAAAAAAAGACCCACATTAGAGTTTCAGGATGGAATAACTATTTTGTGTAGTATAGCTTTTATGCTTGTATTTCTTTATCCTCACATAGGCCTTCACAAAGCTGGTGCTTTGATTTATATCATTATTTATTCTTAATACTGGCCTAATTTCCATTTTAAGAAAATAATCTTTTTTTTTTAACCTTACAATATTTATGACTAAGGTTTTTACAGTAAGTTTTCTTTCTGAAATAATGGTTCTTTTGTAGCTAATTTAGAATTTTACCTTCAAGAAGCAAAGAATAAAAGCAAGGTAGCAATTAACCCTATATATTAACTCAGTTAACCTTATATAAACATTCCTACATAAAAATAAAGTTCATATAGTGTATTTGAGCTATCCCTTAGTTTGGGGAGGTAAGAAGCTTTATTTTCAAAGTATTACTTTAATGCCTTGAATTAAGGTCTTAAGAATGAAGGATAGGAATTTTTCCCCCATCCATCAAATTTACTAAGAAAAAAAACTTAATATTGACCTGAATGTAGGCATGGTAGTTTGGAACTTCTTTTTTTGTGGTCTCTATCTTTACATATTTTTTTTTGAGTCTGTCTTTAGATAGCAAAATGCTACAACTGGATTCAACAATTTCCTCTTTTGATAACTTACCAAAGTAAAACTTTGTAAGCTTCTCTGTTGCCATGGAGGGAAATTAATCCATTTATGTTAGGTATTTAAATACACACACACACACACATATCTCCATTGTCGTAGATAGACTCCTCACTTTTTGACACCATTTCTTGAATAAGAGTAGAACTTAGATATCTTTGGTAGCTTTTTAATCTTCTTTTGTGGGGGTAATAATAATAATAATGGTAATTATTATTATTAATATTTATGTAGCATGTTACAGTTTGCAGAGCACTTTGCCTATGTTATCTCATTTGATCCTCACAAAAACCCCCTTGAGGTAGACACTGCAAATATTATTCTCCCTCCCTATTTTGTATATGACGAAACTGAGATTCCAAATGGTTAAATGCCATGTCCATGCTCATGTAGCTGGTGCTGGGCAAGATCAGAACTGGAATCTTCCTGCCTCCTACTCCAGCACTCTGTTCATGATGCTACCTCGTTGATATTCCTTGCTGATAGTTCTGTTCTACTTTCCATAAGGTGTAGCTCTGGCCACATTTGTAGTTGCAGTATGTTTTGATAGTTTTCATGTTTCAGGATTGAATTGAATAACAGTGAGGATTCTTCCCACTCCCCCAGGCAATGTTATCATGCTCATCCTCTAGCGAGGTGGGCTGTGGCTACTCTCCCTCCTGAAACTGCTCTTTGGGGTCTATGTCGTCATTGATCCTGACTGCTTGATAGTCTCACATAAATGATACCTTAAATGAAAAATGAATCTTCTAGGTTGTTCCTAATGTACTGTCAGGATTTTAACTCATATATCTGAAAAATAAGGTGCTAGTAGCATAATAATGGCTGTTTATAATTAATCACTATTTATGATAGTTTTCCTATGAGGAAATTTGTTTAGCATTCTCACTTGAAATGCTCAGAACAGTCCCTCTGGCAGTGATTTCCGCATCTCTCACCCTGGACTGCTAAGCAGTCAAATCGAAGACTCTTGTCCACCACATGGTGGTGTTTGTTGCTGCAGCTGGGGTTGAAGTGAGGCGGGGAAGATGGTGAAGGTCTCTTAGCAAGACAAGGAAATCTGAGTATGAAGTGTTTGGAAAGAATTGAGGGAGATTGATTTCTCTTTGCTCTTCCATTTACTCATCCATTTGCTCTCTGCCCCATAACTGATGACCCATCTTTCAACAGTATCTTTTTTGTCTTCTTTCTGTTCTGTAATCCCTTTCTCTTTTCCCAGCCCTTCCCTTAGCCATGAAAGTTTTAGAGCCTTGGGAATAGAGTGGCAAGATAAAGGGATACTTCTCTTGCAAAAAGAAGTGAGGGTTTTTCAGGCTCTAAAATGGCTTCCATCCTTCCTTCCTTCCTTCTTTCCTTCCTTCCTTCCTATTTCCAGGGAAAAGAGCAAAGTCTCTATTGCCCTAGGGAGAAGAGGGAATATTCTTTTGGTAGCCCAGATTAGACGGTTATAAGAGATTGGGGTATGTAAGGGCTATAAATTCACCAGTCCAATACTGGGGACTATCCATAGTTCCTTTAGAGTGTTCCCCAGAATAAAAGATAAAAAATCCAAACTATCTTATTGTTGTATCAGAGTACAACCAGTACTAATACTTTTTTTTGTTCTTTCTAATAACTTCTCTTTTTTCTGCTACTTTTATTTCTATTTCAAAAGCTGAGGTACTGCCTTCCTGTCCCTCATGCCATCTTATACCACTGAAAGTGTTTTTAAACACAGTACTTATACACACTTGAAAATATTTTGTTTTTCACAG